AGAAGGTAGGCAATATCTTTCCATTTCTGTTTTCTGCTATTTCTTTTAAGAATATTTTATAGTTTTCCTTGTATAGGTCCTTTATCTTCTTTGTTAAGTTTATTCTCAGGTGTCTAACTTGTCTTGGTGAAATTGTAAGTGGGATGCATTTCTTAATTTGTTCTCCTAGCTCTTTGTTTGAATATTAGAAGGCAATTGATTTTTGTCTGCTGATTAATTTTTTCCTGTTGTATGGCCTAGCTGGTTTATTGACTTGATTAATATTTTTGTGGATTCTTTGGGGTTCGCTATTGTATCATCTGTGAATAATGACAGCTTTACTTCTTATTTCCCAGTTTGGATACCTTTTACAGATTTATTTTGAGTAGTTACTCGAGCTACTACTTATAATACTATATTGAATAATAGTGGTGAAAGTGGAACTCCTTGTCTTGTACCGGATCTCAGTGGAAATACTTTCAAATTTTTCACCATTGAGAATGTTAGTAACTGTGAGTTTATCATATATTTTTTATTATATTAGGATATATTTCATTTGCCTCAATTTGTCAAGAGTTTTCAACATCAATGAATGCTGACTGATGAATGCTCTCTCAGCATCTATTGATACTGACATATGGTTTTTACCTTTTTTTTTTAATGTGGTGAGTTACTTTGATTAATTTTCAGTTAATGAACCATACTTGTGTTCCAGGTATGAGTCCCACTTTGTCATGATGCAAAAGCCTCTTAATACATTGTTATACTTGGTTTACTAAGAATTTATTGAGTTTTTTTTTAACATCTGTCTTTATTAGGGAGATTAGTCTGTGTCTTCCTTTGTATTGTCTTTTTTGTTTTTCTCCATATTTAATCATGGATGAACATGTAAATAAAAAATTCTGTCCAGCTTGTCTAGATTATCAAAATTGTTTGCATATATACACTCATAATAATCTCTGATTTTCCGCTGAATTTCTGCAGACAGTTGCAATATCTAATTTCACTATTGATACAATTTATTTGAGTTTTCTCCCTCCTTCTCTTCGTGAGATCAGCTGGAGTTTTGTCCAAGTTTACCCCCCTGAAGAATCAGCTTTGTTTTATATTAAATGTTTGGATTGTGACTTCTATTTCATTTATTTCTTGTCTTTTCCTGTTATTACTTCTTTCCTTTTACTGTCTTTTTGTTGTTATTGTTGTTCTTCATTTGCAAGTTCCTTGATATGAAAGAACCTTCTTAATTTGAGTTCTTTCTTGGTTATTCATGTGGGTCTGTATTGCCATACACTTCTCTTTTAGTATTGGTTTTGCTGCGCCCATGTGTGTTATTTTTTTTTTTGTTTTTTAAACTTCATGAAAACTTGGTGGATTTATATTTACTGGCCATTCTTTTTTATTATTATTATTACAAAAGTTTATTTTTACATCATTTTGTACATTTTTTTTCCCATCTCAATTGTAATCCCCACGGGTTTCCCATCACCAAATCACCCCTGTGCCATCACCATAATCCCGTGCATTTCCCTCCCCCCACCCCGTTTTTTGATCCCATTCCCCACTCCACCCCCACAAAATGTCTCTGGTATATGGTTGTTCATTATTTTTGTTATTTTCCGCCTGGTCCATTATACTCCTGCTATGAGTGAAACCATCCGGTATTTTTCTTTCTCTTTCTGGCTTATCTCACTAAGCATGATCTTTTCCAGCTCCATCCAAGTTGCTGCAAAAGACATGTGTTTCTCTTTTTTGGTTGCTGAGTAATATTCCATTGTATATATATACGACATCTCTTTTATCCAGTCATCTACTTTTGGGCATTTGGGCTGCTTCCATGTTTTTCCAATTGTAAATAAAGCAGCAATAAACATGGGGGTACAGGTATCTTTTTCAATCAGTGTTTTTGTGTCTTTTGGGTAGATACCTAGGAGTGGGAGGGATTGCTGGGTCGTAGGGAAGCTCCATGTTTAGCAGTTTGAGGAACCTCCAAACAGTTTTCCATAGTGGTTGTACTAGTTTGCATTCCCACCAGCAGTGCAGGAGAGTTCCTTTTTCTCCACATCCTCGCCAACATTTGTTGTTGCTAGTTGTTTGAAGATGTGCCATTCTCACTGGGGTGAGGTGGTATGTCATTGTGGTTTTAATTTGTATCTCCCTTATTACGAGTGATGTTGAACATTTTTTCATATGCCTGTTGGCCATCTGCATTTCCTCTTTGGAGAAGTGTCTTTTTAGCTCTACTTCCCATTTTTTGATGGGGTTGTTTAATTTATTTTTGTTGCGTTTCATCAGTTCTCCGTATATTTTTGTGATCAGTACTTTATCGCTACTTTTGTGTGAGAAAATGTTTTCCCAATCAGTGGGATGTCTGTTTGTTTTTAGTAATGTCTCTTTTGCTGTACAGAAGCTCTTTAACTTGATGTAGTCCCATCTATTTATCCTTGCCTTCACTATTGTGGCATTGGTGCACCCATGTGTTTTTGGAGGTTGAATCCTCATTATCATATGTTTCAATGTATTTTTTAATTTCTTGATTAACTCAGTGGTCTTTCAGTAGTCTGTTATCCAGTCTCCATGTACTAAGTTTCCATTTGTAGCTGATTTCAAATTTGATAACTTTATGTTCAGAGAAGATACTTTGAATGATTTCAACATTCATAGATTTCTTTATTCTATCTCCTGACCCAGTATATAATTAATCCTGGGGAATGATCCACATGCAACTGAAAAAAAAAATGTGTATCCAGTTTTTAGGGTGGCAGTGCCCTATAAATCTCCTTTAACTCATTGCAATCTTGTTTTATTTTAGGGCAAATGTGTCCCTATTTATTCTCTTGCTCATTGGTGGTTTGTTCATTGGTGAATGTGGTCTGCTGAAGTCTCCAACCACATATGTCTGTCTTCAGATTTAATAGCATTTCTCTTATACGTTTTGATGCTTCTTCTTTTTGTGAGTATAGATTCATGAGTGTTATCACTTCCTGCTTCATTTTCCCTTGATCATTTTATAAGATCCATCCCTCTCTCGTGTTAACTTTTTATGTTGGAAATCTATTTTATCTGATAGGAGTATGGCTGCCTCTACCTTCCTTAGGGTGAAATTTTGTGTATCAAGTTGTTTTTCATCCTTTTCCTTGCAGTCTATATTTATCCTTGGAGTTTAAATGTGTTTCCTGGAGAAATAACAAGATTGGCTTCTGCTTCCTGATCCAATGTGATCTGCATGTTTTTATTGGTGAGTTCAGTCCATTTACTGCCATTTTGTACATAGTATTGTGATTTGTACATAGTATTGTGATCAGGGCCCTCCATGGTGGTGCATCAGGTTAAAGTGCAGCACTTGGAAGTTGGCCATGGCCACTCCCATGTGAGTTTGATTCACCCCCCCACCCCGAACACCCCACCACCACCTTACCCCTGCCACAGAGGTAATCCACATGTTACAGCAGACTTTCCTGTCTCTCCCACTGCTTCCCTCAGCGGTGTACTTTATTCATTTGCCTGTTCTCCTCCACAGTCTGACTCTCTGAATACACTCACCGTCCCTACACCTCTAGCCTATACCCCTGTTCTGTGTGCATAAATACATAAAAAATTTAATATTAAATAAATAAATGATTGTGTTACTTTTTTCTCTGTGTGTGCATTTCTTTGTGGTATACCTACTAAAGCTCATTTTATTATTCTTGGATAGTGTTTGCAAACTCCCTCACATTCTATTTATTTGGGAAGGTCTTAATTTCTCCCTCAGACCTGAAAGAGAGCATTGCAGGACAGAGTTTTCTTAGTGGGTAATTTTTATCTTGGAGTATTTTGAATATTTTGTTCTATTGCCTTCTTGCCCACAGTGTTCCTTCAGAGAAGTCTGATGTTAGTCTTATTGTGATTCTTCTACAGATGATGTTTCTTCCCTCACATCAGCTTCATATTTTTTCTTTGTCTTGGAATCTTGGAAGTTTTACTAACATATGTCTTTCTGTGGTTTTCTTTTTGTTGAGGTAGCTTCCTGTATTTGTATGCTTACTTTCTTCTTCAAGTTTGTGAAATATTTTTTTAAAGACCTTTTCAGTTTTCTGGCCCTCCCTGGTGACGCAGCGGGTTAAAGCACAGCATTGAGAAGCTAAAACCACTTCCGCATGAGTTCGATTCCCGCCTGCCCCGGAGGAGACCACATGGCGTGGCAGACCTCTCCTGACCTGCCCGCTGCTCCCCTCAGCAGTGTACTTCGTAGATCTGCCTGTTCTGCTCCCCACTCTGTCTCTGGTGAAGCCTCTCACCACCCCTGACCCTCTGGCCTGTACCCCAGCTCTGTATGCACAAATAAATAAATCTTAAACAAAAAAAAAAAAGAAAAAAAAGACCTTTTCAGTTTCCTTCTTTCTTCTCCTTCTGGGATGCCTGTAATTCTTATGTTTCCTGTCCTCATGGTGCCAGATAATTCTTGAAGTCCTTGTTTTTTTCCTTTTATGTATTTCTTTTTCTATTAAAATTTGTAACTTTCCTCATTTTCATCTTCAAGCTCACTGATTCATTCTTTAGTATGTTTTATTCTACTTCCTTGACTTTCTCTAATTTTTCACAGATCTTTCTACTTCTTGCATTTCTATTATTAGAGCTTCGATCTTGATCTGTCCATTGTTTCCTTCATAGCATTCACTTGCTTTTCTGAGTTTTCTTGCATATTTCTAAACCGTTTTTCTAAGTTTTCTTTGTGTTCTTTGATTTTTAGTTATGCCATTTTTTTGGATTCTATATCTGATAGAAAAAAATTGCCCCCCCCATATTCTTGTGACTTGGTTCCAAAAATTTGTTTTCCCTTTGTGTTATATTGTTCCTCTGGGGACTTGCTTAGCCATTTGTATTTTTCTCCCCACACACCATGGTTTGGTTTTAGTTTGTTCTGCTGTACTTGGGGCTTTTGTTGTGTGAGAGTACTCCTTGTCCATTTCTTTGGACATTTACTGGTTGGTCGACACAGCCTATGGGGCCTCATGTGGTTTGGTGTGGTGCTGGGAGCTCACCTTGAGCTTGGTCAGGGCTGGGATCCAGGTGTCTTGGCATCCAAGGCTGGGTAGAGGTTGGGTTTGGTTGGAGGTGGCAACTTTGTAGCTACCCCCAAGGCTAGTCATCTATGTTGGAGATTTTGAATATATCACTCCTTTATCTTCTTGCACACAGTGATCTTCAGAGAAGACTCATGTTAGTCAAATCAGGCTTCTTTATAGGGTGTTTCTTCTCCCTCATCATCTGCATCATTATTTTTTCTTTTTTCTTTGACTCTTAGATGTTTTATCAGTATGTGTCTTGCTGTAGGCCTCCTTTTATTTAGGAGGCTTGGTTTTCTTTTAGCTTCCTGGATTTCTATGTTCAATTCCTTCTTCAAGTAGGGTATGTTTTCCTCCACTGTATCTTCAAAAACATTTTTGGTTTCCTCTATCTCTGCATCCATGCGTACTCAGGCTCATTCACCACAGTGAATGGACCCAAATGCAGAAGTGTTACCTATGATTTTTGCATTTTCTTTGCTCAAAGACTCAGATAACTCTTAAAGCATTTCTTCACTTTCTTTCTTGTATCTCTCTTATTTTATCTTGATTCTTTCCCCACTTGTGCATTTAGTACAGATTTTATTTCATTTTTAGTCTTTTCTACTTCTTTGGTCTTCTCCAGAGTTTTTGTCTAGATTGATCTTTTTGCAGTCTACAACCCAATTATTTTTTAATTTAAAATGTCAATTTTGAACGTATGTTCATTAACTATGTATCTCATTGCCTACTATTTCTCAATTTATTTGCATCTCTCTGAGTTGTTTTTATGAGATTTCTTTCTATTTTTCAAATTGTTGATTTTTTTAATTATGGGCAGTTTTGAATTTTGTGTCTGATATGAAGGAAAGTTCTTCCTTGTTTTTGAGTTTGGGTTCCTGAGATTTGTTTTCTCTCTGGTGTATTCTTCCCCTGAGGACCTGCTTGGCCATTGTTTGTTTCTGGTTTCCTTTGCTGCTGTTGGGATTGCTGTTCTGCTGGGTCTACCTCTCATGCTATTCTCAGTATTTACAAGGTGGTGGGCATAAGAACTGGGAAACTGTGGTACTGGGATGGTGCTGGGGTCTCCCCAGGAACTCCTCTGGGATAGGGGTTCATTGACCAGTGTGGTTGGGCCTGGGTCCTGGAGGAATGGGTTGCTGGGGCCCTCAGCCTGAATTTCTTTCAGGCTGTGCTCCATCTCTGGGTTGGCTGGGCTTGGGCAATCATGGGGCTGGGTCTTGAAAGATGGTGGGGACACTGTTAGCATTTCTCCTGAGAAGCCTTATGTCAGTCTGATGTGAGAATATTTATAGGATACCTCTTTTTTTTTTTTTCTCAGCCATCTTCAGCATAATTGTTTTCCCTTTTTTGAACTCTTGGTATTTTTAATCCTCTGTATCTTGTTACATTCAGATCTTCAGCTGCTGTTTTAGCTTCCTGGACTTTTATATTTAGCTCCTTTCCAGGTTCATAAAATATCCTCCATTATTTTTTTGAGTAAGCTCTCTGCCCCCTCCTCACTCTCTCTTCCCCTTCTTGAACACCCGTTGCACTTATGTGGCCTTTCCTGATGGAACTAGATATTTCTTAAAGTTTTTCTTCATAGTTCTCATTTTTCCATCTCAGTTTTGTTCATCTTTATCTGCAATGACACTGACTGATCCTCTATTTAGGTTATTCTAATTTCATAGCCTGTATGTTTTAATTTTATCTGTTGACTTTTTGCATCCTGATTCTCTTATATTGTCTAATTTAAAGCTTCATATTTTATTATCGGATTATTAATTCTATTACTCAGGTTACTCATTTTCCTTAATTTTGTTCTATCTTTTTGGTTAGTTTTCAGCGTTCTCTTATATCACTCTGACTTGCTTTTCACTGTTTACCTCCTTTTCTTTGATTTCATTTCTTAAACCAATTTTCAATTCTCTTATAGAAAGATAAAATCTTCTGTGTCTTTGTGGTTGCATTGTGGAAGGTTGTTCTCTCTTTGTGATGTCATATTCCCCTGATGTCTAAAGTGGACACATGTTGCTCTTTGCTGCCTATTTTCATGCATTAGATTTCCCTATTGAACAAATAATCTGTAGCTGTCAGTAAGAAGTTTGATCTATATTTCTTTCCCAGCAGGTGGTGCTCTTGTTATTGTAATGTTATCATATTTTCTCCATTGCAAGTGTCCATAGGCCTAGAAATGTTACCTTTTAGCTGCCTATCAAATGCGCCTATAGGAGTCCAGCCACTGCTGTAAATGCTCTGGTGGGGGCTGGCTTGTGCTTTGGGCACTGCTAGTATCCCTCTTCTCTAGATTGCAGACCAAGAATCTGCAGCCTATGTCACGTCGGTGCATTTGACAACGTCAGCGACAGTCTCCGGGGTACTAAATAGGGAGTAAGTCCAGTGCACTATCTTAGTCTTTTCACTTGGGACGTGGTCTTTGGGATGTACCCCAGCTAGCCCTCATATTTCCCCCCTCAGTTGAGTGTGTGTACCTCCATAACTTTTATGTCTGCCCCTCCCCAAGGCCACTGACTAGTGTCAGCACTGTGGTATGTACTGTAGTCTCCCTCTCCTTATCACAGCCTCCATAGTCTTCCCTTCCTGTTCAATGGAGCATGAGTCTCTTCTATATCCTTTCTGGTCCAGGCTGTGCTGGTCTGATATCTGAGAGGTGTTCTAGTTTCATTACAAGTCACAGAATTCCCTGGGCACAGTATTCCTCTGGTTACTCCTCTGGTTAACCTAGGAGATCCTCTGGGAAGGAAAGCAAGGAACCTCTTCTGATGCCATATTGGTTGTATGTCAAAGTGTATTTTTGATTTCTTATGAAGATTTGATCATATCTGTTATTCCATTTTGTATTACCTTTTTATTGGAATAACATTGCATCATTAAGTTTTCTAAAATTTTGTTGTGCTTTACTCAAAATCCACATAGGTAATTAAAACACTAAGTTCACCTTTAGAAGCCCAATCTGTCTGTCGCCATAACGTCATCCCCTTTTACTTGATTTACCCCTTCCTCCCTTTCCTTCTGGAAATCGCTAGTTGGTCTTATATTCAAAAATTTTATTTTTGCTTCATTTAGTTGATCTGTTTTTCTTTCTATATATACATCATATGAGTTGATGAATGATAAGCACTCTGCCTGGGTCGCCTCTGAGAGCTCTTACTCACCCAGTGTCATTGCCCTCTGGTGCTACTGCCATTGCTATCTGGTCCAGAATACAGGGCTGTCCATCCTGACCTTCAGGCTGTTCCTGAGGCTTGATTTCTGTGGCCCCACCTGTGAGCACCTCCAGCTGTGGCCATGTGAATTTTTTGGGAGTCGACCAGCAGAGGAGGATTCCCTTTATCATGGATTCCCTTTCACCATGGATACCAAGATCCCAAACTTTGGACATAGGATTTGGACCAGAATAGCCCTGTGATTCCCTTTCAACTATGTGATGTTCATTATTCTAATAATAAATATAAACAAATATAAAAATATAATATAAAAAATAATACAGTGTATGCCTTGCTTGGTCTGACTTACTTCACTAAAGATAATATCCTCTAGGTACATGAATGTTATTGAAAATGGTAAGATTGCATCATTTTTTATATTTAAGTACCATGACGTTGTGCATGTAGACAAGATATTCTTAATCTAATCATCTGTGTGTGGACCCTTAGGTTTTTTCCAACTCTGGGCAAAGTAAATAATGCTACAATAGATTTATTGGAAGTTTATCATTTTGTCTTCAAATTCAACAATTATTTCCTTTGTTCTTTGATCTGCTTTCCCTTTAAATTTATTGAGGTTAGACATTTTTGGTTATTATTTTCTAGTTCAAAAATTTACATTTTATTTGCCTTTATACCTTCTGTTGCAGTATTGAGGCATTTCACCAATATATTTTTATTTTTTCACGTTTGGTGTTGGTGGTTGTTCATTGAGACATTTTTACGATGGCTGCTAAAGTTCTTGTCAACAAAGAATAACAAAAATCTGAAAATTTAACTGGAACCATAAAGGTTCTCAAAAGTAAAAGAAATTCTGAGAAAAAAGGGGAATTGGAAGCAGCATATTACCTCCATTTGTGTGTGTGTGTGTGTATATATATATATATATATAAACAACACACATTACCTCCATATATGTATATAAGAAACACACACATTACATATATATGTGTGTATATATCCATATATATATATATATATATATATACACACCTTAAATAATGATTAAGGACCATGAATTTACCATATGCAAAGGAGAGGCTCTTTAACAAAAAGCATTAGGCAAAATACATGGACATATGTAAAAGAATGATTTCATCAAAACTAAGCAAAACAGTGATAATAGCAAATGATAACAGTATACACATGTATATAAATGTACCACTTGCATGAGATGGTATCTCATTGTGGTTTTGATTTTCATTTTCATGACCACAAATGATGTAAATTTTTTCATATACCTGTACGCCGTTTATATATCCTCTTTGGAGAAAGTTCTTTTTAACTCTTCTGCCCATTTTTTAACAGGGTTGTTCACTTTGATTTTGCTGAGTCATATGAGTTCTTTGTACGTCTTTGTGATCAGTCCCTTATCATTAGTATTGCGTGCAGAAATTTTCTCCCAATCAGTGGGGTTACTCTTTGTTTTGGTTAATGTCATCTTTGCCTTACAGAAGCTCTTTAATTTGATGTAGTTCCAGCTATTTATATTTCCCTTCACTATCTTTGCTTTGGCTGATTTAATTTTACAGATGTTACTGAGGTGTACGTGTGTAGTGTTTCGCCAATAATTTCTTCTATATATTTCATGGTTTCAGGTCTTATGTCTAGTCTTTAATCCATTTAGAGTTGGTCTTTTTTGTATAGTGTGAGGTAGTAGTCTAGCTTCATGTTTTTGCATGGAGCAATCCAAATTCCCCAGCACCATTTATTGAACAAACTTTCTTTTTCCATTGCATACTCTTCACTCCTTTGCCAAAGATTAGTTATCCATAAAGCTATAGGATAATTCTTGGGTTTTCTATAT